AAGAAAAGAGTTTTCAAATTTTTTTGGTTTTTTTTTATCTGTGCCTTTCATTTGTGGCGCTAACTTTGGAGATTTTATAGAAGACCTAGAAGATTCAAGAAAAAATACAATGGATTTAATAAATATCAAAGAGCTTAGCCACAGTCATTTCATATATTTGGAGCACTTCTTTCCCATCCTTTGAATTGTTATTTAAAGATGAATTTCTTTCTTGCCAAACAAGATGTTTAGCAGCATCAAAAAAAATATGTTCCAGACCAAATAATGAAGTTTTAAGATTAAACTCTTCATGGGTACACGTCTTTACAAATTCAGTTTTTTTACCAATAATCTCAATAATAATCCAGAGATGATTATCTTTTTCAGCACTCAAATTCATGCCTGGAAGACTTTTAGATATATTTATTAAATCCATTGTATTTTTTCTTGAATCTTCTAGGTCTTCTATAAAATCTCCAAAGTTAGCGCCACAAATGAAAGGCACAGATAAAAAAAAATCAGATAAATTGGAAACCTGTTTCATTACTGATTCACATTCCTCTATTTCTCGCCTTAATTTCAACAAGCAATAATAAGAATTATTCTCAGATACAGTATTTTCAAAAGCTTCCATTAACTGCTTGTGGTAGATTTGTAATTCATTAAGGGGGTTGTATTTTAATCTCATCTGAAAAGCAGGATATAAATTTGATTGTTGTTGATAACCTGAATGCCCCCCAAACAGTTCACTATGCAGTGAATCATCATACCAAAGCAAACTTCGAAAAGTTGGCTCACCTTTTAAAAATCTTTTCTTATTCTCTATAAAATCTATTGTTTCCATTATAATTTGCAGCTCAACTAATGCTTCTATAGCACAAGGTTTTAATTTCTGACTCGCCTGCATATTTCCATTAGAGCTTCCAAGTATTTCCCTAGAAATCAGAGCATGCTCAAAAGAACAACCTTGCTTTTTTTCAAAAGCTGTAATGAACAAAGGAAGAGCACTTTTGCAATATGACACCTGTTCGTGCAGTATAATCAGAGATGAAGTTTTATCTGCCTTTTGTAAGATCTCTGATATTTTAGACTTGAAGTCACAGGATTTTAGACTGATTCCTACTTTGGAAAGTTTGCTATGATGGCTGAAATTGTTGCAATTATCAGAAGAGGTGCTTGAAAAATAGCGTTCATTTTGCTTGGCCTCAGTGCTAGTGAAGGGTTTATTTGTCTTATCAGGCAGGACATGATAAACTGCAGTTAGTAGAGAATTAAAATGAAACTGATCAAAGTTATAACCACTACCTGAGGAAGTCTGTTTGCATGTAGATTCCCTAAGTATGATATGATTTATTTGTTTCAAGTTTTTCTGCCTTAAATCTAGGTTATTTAATGACTTCAGAGGACTGTCATGGATTATATCTAGTCTTTTAATTGTAGAGTCATTCATGCTTTCTGGTAGTTCTCTTTCCTTTATATTTTCCTCTACAAGTTTCTGTAAAACACAACGATGAGATGATTGGCATAAATTATTATCTTCGAAGGATTGAGATAGCAGATCATCACTAGATGGTATTTTGTTAGTATTTCTTTGGGGTTCAACTGACTTGTTCAATGAGTTACAATGCCTATTCTCGGCATTATATATTTCCTGTTCAGTTGATTGACTAAATGAATTAAGGCAGGAATGTTCTGATTTTGAAAAAACCTGTTTACAATGAGAATCTAGTTTTTGCTTCTGTCTACTGGAAGATCCTGTTGGGATTTCAGAGCAATTAATACCTATATTTTTGTTTGATGAATTGTTTGTTTTTAATGACAATGACCTGTTGCTATGGATTTCTGAAGTTAACTGAACCACAGAGGTTTTAGCATTAACGTTCTCTTCTGTTAAGGGCCAAGTTGCCAATGAAGCATGACACTTTCCAGCACTCAAATTGATGTTTTCTTGCTGTAATGCAGATATTTCCAGAGTTTCTTTGTCATTGTTCGTTTTTTTCAAATTGGGACAAGGTGCAGAAATAACATCTGACCCGAACACATTTATTTTTGCAGCAGATTCAAAAATTGGTTGAATTGATGGAGCAATTTTAACAGTACTCATCTTTACATGAGATTTGAACATTTCCTCACCATTTGTTTGCCTTCTTTGACAGGCAGTTAATTCCTTTCTTGTCATAGAAGAGTTAAATTGTTTTCCATCTGTTTTGCTTCTACAGGCATTCGTGTCAGAACTCAAAGTGCGCTTGTTTTCCATGGCTGTAATTACATTCTCTTGATTCTTTTCTTGTGTATTTCCAAAAAGGCCTTCCTCAGCAAATCTCTTGTTGCATATGATAGGCTCAGCGCTAAGTGGCTCTATACTTCTAATTTCTGTAGTATCTAAGATAGCATGTTTTTCAGAGACTGTTTTTATTGCTTTATTGTTCGCACAATCGCTGCTAAAAGATACATCTGTGCTGCAATCGAATGTTTCAAAAGAATCTAAGATACCGTTCGGTAAGATGTTTTTTGCTTTGGAGAATACACTATCTGGAGTTTTTCTTCCAGCTTTTGTTATTGTTTTTAAACTCTGAACATTCTTCCGAGCTTTTCTTAGGTGAAACATTGCACCCATTATTTTTTGAGATGACCATTTGGTTTTGCATAGCAATGCTTTAGTGTTGTCAAGGGCACTTAAAATATTCTTAATATGTTTTTCAGGCTGCTTGTTTTTTTTAAATTGTCCCTTGGATAGTGAAGAAATCTGGGATGAAGACTGTATGTTGAGTTCTTTCTTTTTGCGATGATGTTTTGAATTTTGCTGTCCCTTTGTGTATTTTTCCTTTCCCCCCCGTCTTGACCACTTAACACATTTTTTGGATGCTGAAGATTTAGTTGTACATTTTTCCATTTTAGTTTCTAATTTTGACTGAACTATATTGGTTATTGTAATTTGTAAATCAGGGCATGAAAATGTATTCAATAACTCAGTTCCTTTTTCCTCCCCAGATTTCTCCCTATATAAGGAATTATCTTTATTCGTCTTCAAAGTTGGATTTTTTGAAAGATTTTCGTTCGAGCCAGGTTTTCCAAACAGATTCTCCCAATCTAAACGTGCTTGTAAATAATAATAGACATTCTCTTCACTAATATTTCCATGATTATGTGGCTTGTGCCACACTGAGACGCCTTTCTTACACTCTTCTAGTACATTTTCAATCTCGCCACAAATGTCTAAGCTGTGGACGTTATCACTTTTCCTTTCTAAATCTTGCCCAGATATTTCAGGAACTTGACTACAAAAGCTATCAGAACTGGCATTTGAAGATGTATTTTCAGATTGTTTGTTGATTTCCGTATTTCCCATACTCCCCAAAGATATAGGAACTGATGTGAGTAACACTGTGTGATTTACTTTCTTGTGATCTGTCAAGTCATTATTTTTAGTAGGCAATGTTTGCAATTCTTCAAACTTCTCTTTGCAATGTTCTCTGTTAGTTAGCTCTGTTTCTATTAACGAGCTTCTTTGAAGATTCAAGTTAAAAAAAAAACCTGTGCTTTCTAAATCTAAAGTATCTGATTTTTTTGATGTTTCTGTATAATTGTTCATATTATCTGCGGGTTTCTTCAAAACCGTATCAGGTTCTTGCTTTTTTCTTGATGAGCTTTCTGTTGCATTTTTAAATGCAGCTTCTGTTGTAGATTGATAGTTTTTGCCTTCTTGTCCACATGGAACCTCCTCTTTTAATTGGTTTACATGTATTTCATTAAAGCATTTTTCCCCTGTGTTATTTGTTTCACAGTTTTTTTGTTCTTCAGTAAATAAGGAATTACATATCCTATCCTCAAAATTATTTTTGTCTAACAATGCTGGCTTGGAAAGACACATATTTTTTACACTAAGGCCTCTTCTAACAGCATCAGTTATACAGGTATCAGAAGGGTGATACCCGAGGCTCTCTATATTGCTAATTCTTTTGGCAGATTTTTCTTTGATACTGTTTATTGTATAATCATTATTTAGGGAGTTATTTGCTTTTTCAGATGCTGAATATATTTGCTTATCTTTTTGATTGCTTTCAGCCAAGTTAGTTTTTTTAGATTTTAGATTTAAAATTTTCAGAGCTTGATGCTTATTTTGTTCAAAATTCTCAGATGTGATTTCATTTGAAGGCCATTCATAAGCATACCTTTTTTTACAGCAGGCAGACTGAAAAGTATTACCACAATGCTCCCCTTTTGATGAAGTACAATTATTTGTTGCACATTTGGTGTCAAGTTGAATAGAATGCTCTATTTCAGAAGGAAAAATATCATCCCCTTGAAACTGGCTTTCCATTTCTCCTCGACTGTCTTTGCTAGTTATATTGTCAGGACTTAGTTTGCCTGTGGTTATACTGGTGTCATTACAAAAAGGTGGTTTCATAATAAGTTCTTCATTTTGCTTTACCACATTCTTTTCTCTTCTTGTTAATCTTGGATCTTTAATTAATCTTGAAGTAGTTACAGTACTTGAACCAATTTCCCAGTCAGAAAAATCTTCCAGATTTATATTTAAACTAGTCTTCTTATCATCCCCCATATGTTCACCTCTGATTGTTTCTGTACCAGATTTACATGGAATATTGGCTTTCATTTGTGTTAAATCCCATCTTGTAGCTGGCTTGTGTTTCTTTTTTTCACAGTGAATTTTGTTTTCAGAATCATTCCAGTTCTGTATGCCTTTAGAAACAGAAGAAGCTTCTCCAGATACATACATTTCTAATGGTTTTCTGAAATGTTCATAGATGAGTTGGCTTTTACCTATCCTTGTCACCCGTGTACAGTTTTCCAAAGGAATAACTCCTCCTGTTAAAGAGAAATATGATTTTTGAGAGTCATAATATTTTATATAAGGGAGGAAAAACATATTTTAACAGATAGTTATCTCTGACTCCTTGATAGGTGATGCACTAATGCGGGCTTTCTAATCATTCACCAAGTTTTTACAATAGCTAAAATGCCCAGGAATATTCTAACTGTATTATCTGTACAGCTGTGTGAAAAAGTCCTGCACGCTTTACGGTTCACAACATTTTTGGATAGGCCATTGATTTTATGATATTTTATGCTAACTACTATGCAAATATTGTTATATTTACATAAATACTGGTGGTTTTGAAAAGCATAAGATTTTTGCAATTTGGTGCTGTTTGGATAGGGATTGTGAATTTTCTTGCATGCTTCCAATGCATGCTTCCAATGACTATGAAAACAGATTAACTGATGCATACCCAGTGGCATA